CTATTGTTTCTAGGCTTCCGACATAAAAGATTAAAGAAAAATGTTTTAAACCAATGCACAGATTTTAAAAATGCTCCTGGTGGCGGTTTGTGAAGCTCCCTTGGAATGCCACCACGTCATCGGCCTCTAAGTAGCAGCGCCAGTTCGCGGCAGTATGCCTCTTTCGTCCTGAATGTGACTTTTGATTTGACGTTAACGAGTGTACTAAGTTGCATATGTTAACTTCCACAGTGCTTCCAGAACTTTCCCTACTGAGTAGGGAAAGCATAGAAAGTGTTGCCCCGGAAGGTGAGGGCACCACGACCTTACAATATTGGCGGTCAACAACAGTTCTGCTGGCCAAAGCATAGCCGCGTGCGCGCTAGAATCGGCGGCGTGGGACAACAATTCCGTAGACGCACACACGAAAATGGGCCGGTTCCAATAGGATGTTGGCAAATCTTGAAACCAGCCATCCGTGAACGCGTGAAACGTTCACGGATGGCTGAAACGCGTTTGCCCAAGCTTCGAGCACCCTACCCTTGAAAAGACCGTGCTCTCTCAATCTCCGCGGGGATCCGATAGCACCAAAGGGTTATCTCTTTGGGAAACAGCGAAGCCCGGTGACTAGTTGGGTCGAAGTCAGCCTCCATGTTACCTATAACCGTTTGTGAAGAGTGGTCTTCTCCTGAGATGACAAACTAGTGCCGGCTGACGTGTTTTTCTGAAAGAGGCGTGGGGAAGAGGAAGTTTGAACGACCTCGAAAGCTCCTCTCCTGATATGGAGCTCGAGGCATGTCACGTCTGGGTTGCCTTCTCGCGCAAAAAACTGCGCTTCTCGAATAGTGCCGCGTGCAGGGGCCCTAAACTCGTGAAACACAAAGTTGGAGCCGAAAGGTGGCGGAGCGCGTCGATTGGATGTTGGCGACGAAAACGCCGAGTCATCGTCGTGATAATCCAATCGGTGCGCTCCCTCAACTTCGGCCCCAACTTCGTGTTTCACGAGTTTAGGGCCACAGGGCTGGGAAAGCAACGCTCGATCACGGACCTCTAACAGTTCTCGTTTATTCTTGTACCAGACGTAACTTCTATCGTTTATCCCTGCTTTTGTTGTTCTAGAAAGTGCGTGTTCATTCTCGCCCCGGGTGCGCTACGCTCGAACCTTCTCCACCGAATCTTCCAGATAGTGACTCACCTTAGATAAGAGGCCGCCCGCGACCTCGTCGAGTCTGTTTCGCCTCAGCGTTCAATCTTGCTGCTTCGCCGCCTTCGACGCTCGCGACGCTCTGTTATCTTTCTTTTTCCTTTTACTTTTGGGCACAAGTTCGCCCGATTAAACGTTCAGTTTACCCCGTTATTCGCCGCCTCATCAGTTGTCATTTGTGATAATATATGGGTCTGGATGAGTTTCGTACCGGCACGCGTTCGTGTAATCACTACTGCGTGATGCACGTTAAAAACCCCAGGTTAGCGGTTGTACTCAGGGTTGGGCAGAAATACTCAAAAATGTATTTGGAAATACAAATACTGGGATACATTAAGACAGTAGCCGAAATACTGATACTAAGATACATCTGTAAAAATGTATCGCGATACGTATCGGAAATACATCTTAAAAAGAGGCAAAAAGTATTTGGAAATACAAATACTGGAATACATTTTAGGGAGGGCAGAAATACAAATACAAAAATACTGATAGCGGAATACATTTTCCAAATTTTTTGAAACGCCAACTGAGATGAAGCTTGAAGTTTGAAGCGGATGTTTTTGATCCCGAAATTACTTTCCTGTAGGCTTGGCACTTTGCCTTGAAGATAGTGATTTCGGACGACAAGGAGTCTTCAATGGGCCCAAAAAAAACGTCCCATCAAAGGCTGACCGCGGTCCCTTCCATGACACCCTATCTGTCTGACGAGAGAATCCTGTCAACATTGATCACATGATGTCACGGTGGAATTAACTAATATTCTTTATCTGTAGGTGTGGCCTTGAACATAAAACTTTAACATGCTGCTGTATGAAAGAACAGTACGTACTTTCGTTGTAGGTTACCTAGCTAAAGGTCGTGCATACAGTGTCATTTGGAATTTTCGAGTATAGTGGACCACCTGAAGCATCTTGGAATACATGTCTTATCTTCTGTTACGGTTGAAAAAACGATACGGTAGCATCCTTGTTCTGAAGGTCCTTACTACCGACCCTCCGCCACTGACGCACGGATTACAGTCCTAAAGATTTTCCTCGAATTATCCAAGCAGAGACCTCGCGGATTGCGAGCTGATATTGCCGGCACAGGCGCGAGCTGTCCTAGAAACAGCGGTCTTGAAACGAGTCGCGGGAGTACGCAGTCTGGGATGGCACAGCGAGGCTACTTCTGGCCTCCGTCTGGGTTTCGTATCACCAGAGCAGCGGGTCACGTTCACGTTCGCTGATGTCGTACCCTTCAACCGTGCAATGTCACGGGCGCAGCCGCAGTTGAATTCGAATATCTGTTGAACTTCACAGCGTGAGCCTTCCTACTATTTCAAGTCAACCACCGCCAGGCTCGTGCTGCAACGGAATGTGACTTAGCTTTGCCGGCTGGGTGTACTCTGTACGCTAAGGCGAGAGAGACGGTTAGCAGCGGGCATTGGATGCCAGCAAACAATGACTCAAGAAATCCCTACCTAAGGACCTGCGGCAGAAGATGCTCTGACTCCACTCCTGGCACGGCACCTGGTTCGAGTCCCCGACTACGTAACACTTCTCAGAAAAGAGAAGAGGACGCTTAGAAAAATAGTTTGCAGAATCAAAAGGAACCTTGGTCAGCATAGTAACAATGCCCCCGCATCTCCTTGACTCTGATGCCCTCAGGAGTAAAAAAAAAAAAAAAAAATGCGTCCGGCCTTGTTTTTTTTTTTTTTTTTCGGGGGGGGGGGGGGGGGGGTGTATTTCTCAAGAAATGAAACGAAATACATTTCATCCTGATTGTATCGCGATACAAAGAAACATTCCAAATGTATTTCGATACAGGAATACAGATACTGGCGAAACAAATGTATCGCGATACAAAAATACAGATACGAAATGTATTTCTGAAATACTATCGCGATACATTTGTATTGCGATACTGCCCCACCCTGGTTTTACTGCACGGGCTAAATTTCTCATCTGCAGCTAAAGACAGATTACCCGTTGACGCGTATCTCCATCAAGGCTCCATAAACATACAAAGCAAGCCCCCCAATTTTAATATTCTTCACTCTGTTCCGCACAGCCGTCGTGGCCGTACGGAACAGAGTGAAGAATAGATTCGAGCATCATCTGGACGCCATAATTCTGCCAGGCTGCAGTGTCATGGGGCTGGACTTGGCTTCGGTCAGTGAAGACTTTTTTTTTCGTGTGTGTTTCATTGCCTCACTGAACTTTGTGTCTCAAGTGCAGTTCCGCTAAACGTTTTTTTTTTTTATGTTTTCTTACGAACTGTGTGTTAGCATCGTTTACTTGTTGGGTTTATTTCGTCATGCCGTAACGGCCTGACGGTGCTGTTGAGATCGTGTTCGCACGCATTTGGTTGCGTTCCTTTTAGGGAATGCCCGGAGGAGTTCGATTTTGTTCTCGCCATGTGCGGCTGGGTTTTTCCGTCTTGATTACATTTTTTTTTCTTGTTTTACCTTTACGTGCCGTCGTATTCCTTGTCTGGTTCTCCACCAGGCGTGGACCTATCGCCTTGCCACCGGTCGAACCTAAATCTTTTATTCTTTTAACGCAATGATGATTAAAATTATGGTTAACGATGGAGTTGGGTAATTTTATTCTTATTAACTTGTTTTAGTTCCCTAACCATCTCCGTGACAATCTCTCCATGTGTTTCGGACCGTTTCTGTGTCTTCACCTCTGTGTATTACGGAAGTGAAAGGACATTCCCTGGTGGTCTGTAAGATGTGCGGTTAACAAACCCTAGCGTTTGGTTTTATATAATTGTATATAATATATCAATTATATGGTGACTTTCTATGTCTTAGGAATATGACAAAATAGCTAGTCATGCTAGTTTACGGTGAAAGTCGAATCAATACAGCGTCTGTGCCTCTTCGATATTGAAAGTCTACTAGGCCGGTTTTTTTTTATTAGATATGTTGCGTGTGGTTTCCCACTGTGATCAAAACATAAAAACTATTCAATATCACAAAATACGTTTATAATTGATTACAAAACGGAGACTAAATTCAATTAAAACTTTTTTTATAATTCATAAAAACCCACGGGTCGCTATGTCTGACTTGGGTCTTGCAAAACAAAGACGTCTTTTTCCGAAATTGAGGCTTAATTATAGAACATACAAACAAAATACACACTTTATCGACTTGCTTTTCAAGTATACAGCTAACATATCTACATTTTAGCAAAAAATAAAAAAAAAATAAAAAAATGGGTGTTTTGAGAAAACTGATTTCAAAATTTGTACCTTTTGGTTTTCGCATAATATTAACGTAAACGTTACGCAAAATATATTTCATACAGCATAGTGATTTTTGGTATATATAAGGACCGTGTTTTGGGCTCTCCATAAACATAAAAATATATTGATGTAATCTAAGTAGATCGCCAGTATTTAATTGTTGAACTTCGCCAACAATTAACCGATGGGGCGTTTTTGACATTTTTACGGGAAAAAAGCAAAACGACTAAAATTATTTCATGCTAGTAGAGCCTTTTACCTGTGCTCACAAAGTGCTTGAAAAAGTTAATATAATGTGGATTGAAAATCCACAGTGGGAGATTGAGCGAAACATCCTACCCACGACGGATGTGAAAAACACTGCTTTCCGCCACGGCCTCTTTTAAAATTCGTAAGTCGAGAACTAAATATTTGTTTTGGTTTGTGTTGTTTCAGAAGCCAATTCCACCATTATGAATTGGAAACAAGAAGAAGCGGTTGAGCCAACGTGCTGATTCGTCTCTGCGACAGATTTTGATACCGAGGAGCAAGTGTACTTGGGATCATCTTCAAGTGAAACGTTCCAGCTGGGATGGTCGGGATGAAGAGTTTCGATGACGAAGACGGTGGTGGTGGTGCAAGGATGGGTGGTGGCAATGCGCGATTCGACAGAGGCGACTTGAGCTCCGAACCTCAGGGTTACCAGAGGCAGCAACGGCAGCAGCAAGAGCCTAGGCCTTCGCCACAGTTTCCTCCTCCGAAAGACTTTGTGGGGGGCTTTTTGACAAGCATAAACCAGGACCTCCTCGTCTCCAAGACGTTCTACTTCTTTTTCTTCTCGGCCTTCGGCTCGCTTTTCCCCTTACTCGCTGTCTACTTCAAACAAATGGGAATGAACGCAACGCAAAGTGGGCTCCTGATCGGCATTCGACCTCTGGTGGAGTTCATCAGCGCTCCCATGTGGGGCGGCATTGCGGACCGCTTCAAAAAAGGCAAAGTCATCCTGCTCGGCTCCCTGGCCTGCTGGATTGTGTTCACACTGTCGCTGGCCTTCGTGCAGCCGCCCCCGTCGTCCTGCATCGATTACAACGACACACACCACGTGCTGTACCTACCAGACACCGGACAGCGAGAGAAGCGCGGCGCCGACTTCTGGTCGGACCAGGTCTCGGTCCAGGAGGAGGATATGCCCCCGAGGCTGCAGCGGAAGCCCTCCAGCACTCAAGCACCTCCTCTTCCGCCGGTCGGCAAGGGCCGTGCCAAGGCCAAGCAGCTTCCACCCAACTACGTGGTGGGCAAGTCTCCCAATACGGTGGAGTACACGCTCAACTACAACCAGGAGCGCCACACGTCCTACATTTCACCGCCGTTCAGCTCCATCGTGTACAAGTACGAAGACGTCCAAGAGGTGTTCTTCCTGCTTCTCCTGCTGATCGTACTCGGCGAGTACTTCAGCGCTCCGGCGATCACGTTGGCTGACTCTGCGACAATCTCCTATCTGGGAGAGAACTTGGACAACTACGGGAGGCAGCGGATGTTCGGTTCCCTGGGCTGGGGTGTGGCCATGTTCTTCGTAGGAATCGCGCTGGACCACTCCACGTCCTTTCCGAACCATCCGTGCGGGCCTTACGAGAAGGAGCGCAACTACACCATCTGCTTCGCCACCTTCTCCGTGCTCATGGGTTGCGCCTTTATCTCGGCCACGCAGCTCAGGTTTGAGTACTACCCTGGCCCGCAGGACGACATTGTGCTGAAACCCGTCGTGATGAACAGCGACGCCAACAAGCCCATCACCATAGAAGACATCGCGCCGGGAATTCCTGTTGCACGGCCACAGAAAGAGGAAGAGGTGGTTCCTGAAACAGCTAAAGTAAGTAATTACAAGTCGTGGTTTTTAGCTATGGGAATATATTTCTACTTTTTTTCGTTGTATACAATACGGCTGTCAGTACTAAGACGCTTGGCCGAACATGACGTTATACGCAAATGGGTATAACAAGATAGTAGGGCTCAAGTTATAGGTCAAAAATTATGTTGAGAACCAAGCTTATTTAGGTCACAGTGGGTTGTCATATCAAATCAGCCAGGACTGTTAGGGGCGGATGATTACCATTTTTTTTTAATTGAAGTAAAATAGAATCATACGATTGCCATGTATGTTAAAAGCAAAATTGTTCTCCAAAACGTTCAGAAATTTTATTGTGCTACAGAAAATGTAAGTGTAGCAAAGTAAAAATTCGTTTTCGGTTGCGTAAGCTTTTTTACTTGGTTATATTGAGTGGTATAAAGTCCGAAAATAGCTTACTTTTTGCAAATATATAATCTGCTGCCCACATTTGTTTATATTGAGAGAGTGTGGCCAATAAATAAAGTCTGTGGCCTGCTAGAACAAGCCGACTTCATGATAAAAGAACATTGTCCGCTGCTATCTTATAGAGATAGCGGCATAGTTTGTTTCACGTCAACAACACAAGATGGCGGAGGGATCATACCATTTCCCGCTTGCCAGACTTTCAGCCCTGCTTGCTAGACTGTTGGCATCTTCAAGAAGTTGTCAGTAGGAATGTCTCGGATGTCAACTAGTTTTTTTTATCTATAATGAACAAAATGGACCATATTTCATAATCTAAATAAAATTAAAAAGTCAAACGTTGTACTACATAAATTCTGGTTTCATTTTTTAAACGATGTATCAGATTATTTAAAACGTGCGGCGTTTACTAAATGTGTTTCGCCCACAATCTTGCACATGAGTCAGAGCCCATTGCACTAGGAAAGTTCAGACGGTGGGCGGGGCTCGTCGCCCACTGAAGCTAGTCGATTTCCCGATAAAAAAAAATTAGTGCGTTATCTGATCGTGTTACAGTCATAATATGTTATGTGTCAAAACCAGTGTTGACGGTAACGCCTTACAAGTAGCGGGGCTACCTGTAACGCGTTAGATTTTTGTACTCGTTATTTTTCTAAAAGTAACGGGTAACGTACTTACGTGAATTAATTCAAGTGACGGATAACGCAGCTACGTTACTGGTAACGTCTTCTTTCGAAAACTTGAAAAAAGTGCACCTAGACTTTTTCGTGTTTATACATTTTGTTTTATCCCAAGTCCAGACTCAGCTGACGCTGCGAGCCGATGTGACCGATCAGACAAGGTCAATAGGGCACCACGATGGTGGTCGCCGTGTTTTTGCAAGTGCTATGTTATGGCTGAACAAATCATAAACAAAAAAGGCACCATGACTTGCGTTTTTAACGCTGCTTGATTGGGCCCATTAACTGGTAGCTTCGGCTGTATCTGGACTTAAGTTGATACGTAATATATGCGCCAAGTCATTAAGTAATGGACTCATTCTACATACCTTCAAATTGTTACCTGTCTTTTCCCCACGCAAAGAATAACAGTTTAGAGAAACCACAACGCCAACGTCCTTTGTCCCAATATCGAAAAACGCTGTCGCCATAAAAACGTTGTTACCGTCAATTTATTACTGAAAGGTAAGGCAAAAGTAACGTGTATAACTTTTTATGGGTAACGGTAACGCTTTTTTTTCATTTTGAGGTAACGTAGGTCACTAACGCGTTCCTTTATTTTGCAAGCAACCAGTAAGGTATTTCGTTACTTTTTTTTTTTTTTTGTAGCGACTACAATACTGGTCAAAACACAAACTTTCAAACACGACACGTTATTTTCTGGATCGCAGAGTACCTCTCGCCGTTGCTGGGCTGTCGGCGTATTCCGAAATACTACCAAAGCTCTCCCAGTATGAACTGACCTGACGTGGGTTATATACTGTACTGTGGTTTATTTACTCCCTACGAAATATGTTATATTATTTTAAAAATCTGTCAAAGTCGAAATTCGGTTATATGTTTTAAGCCCGCTTTTAATATAATATACTAGAGCCTGTATTCCTCGTAACTTTAAAATTATATATATATATATATATATATATATAGAGAGAGAGAGAGAGATTGTTCTCGTCGACTGATTTCCTAATCCAGCTATAGACACTGGCGGCTTAAACTGCTAGCATCGCAGGAAGTGGATAATTATTCTCACGCTTCTGGTTTGTAAATCGTTCGTCGACTTTCTGGTGGACTACAGTCGTAATCTGACTGCTTACGAGGAAAAAACACACTGGACAACTGGCACCATTGAGCAGGTAGTCCACAAAAACTTCCGATCTGCCCTTAACACTATTTGCGAGATTAAGGCTGTGGGGGGGGGGGGGGGGCTCGCCACACCCTGCATTTCTTAAGTTGCCGATGACTACAATGCTTAATCGTCACTTCTACCCTCGCACACGACAAAATTGAGCTATCAATGAGCTAATAAAATAAATATATTGGTAGCGACGTTTATCTCAGATATCCTATAAATGAACGCGTGGGATGCGGTAATTACGGCTCGATCGTTTAAGGTTGTTTGGAAGATTTTAAATGTTCGTTTAAGGAAGCGAAGAACATTTTGAATATTCATTTCCCTACTCAATTGAGCTGAAATATTAGCGCCACGCCACTTCGGGTTCCGTCACGTGACGTCAAGTCATGCGCAATCAGTTTTCTCATTAAATTGAGTTAAGCAACAGAGTCACGTGACGCTCATTTTCCCAGTATATTTAGTAGAGATTGTGAATTAATGTAGACGTCCCGTGTCGTTAAACTCGCGGCTCTACTTCGCTCGAAGATCAGTGTTGAGTGCTTTATACATCAATTTATGTTTCCCACAAACACAAACCCGACCAGCCTCAAAAGCTTTGACACTAGGCCACCAAAAAACAGCGTGTCCATTTGCTACTCGCAGAGCACGGTGTTCGCGCAAACGACGCGCAAGCTGCCCGAACTGCTGGCCGTGCTGCGGTCATTCGCCACCCTGCGCTACGCGGCCTTCCTGTGCGTCACCTGGTTCATGGGCTTCGGCATCGGCCTTGTCTTCACCTTCCTCTTCTGGCACCTACAGGACCTCGAAGGCACGCCCACGCTTTTCGGCGTCGCCTCGGTCATCAACCACGTCTCGGAGATATTCGCCTACTTCTTCAGCTTCCGATTCATCCGGCAGATAGGACACGTCAAGGTAGAGAACTGATCCGTCAAGTGACGTGAATTTTCCCGCTAAATGTAACGGCAAAACTGAATGGTTGCATAGGTCACATGACGTCAGGTCAGTTGACTTCGATTTCTCCCGCTATATTTAGCTGGGAAACCGGATTGGTGTCTGGGTTTCAAAACGTAAAGTTTTCCGCTAAATTTAGCGGGTAACTGAATTGGGGCATAGGTTACCGGACGTCCATTTCCCGCTAAATTTAGCGGGGAAACTGCATTGATGTTTGTGCCGCAAGATGTGAATTATCCCGCTGAATTTAGCGGGGAAATTCAATTGACGTACACGTCAGGTGCCGTTAATTTTTCCAAGTTGTGTAAGTCACGTGACATCACGTGACGCTACTTTCCCCGCTAAATTCATCGGGAAATGCACAAACGGGCCGAGGGACAACATCTTCGGCATGGGGGTAGCGTTAAAACGTATTTCACGCTTTAAAAACTACCTGTATTTTTGGTCTATTTCAAAAGTCCTCAAAATGCTTGACATTTATGCCTCCTTGATGCCGTCACGTTGTCACTTGACGACATAGTGTCATGTGACACAATGACATCGTCGAGACCATGTCCTAGGCGCATGAATAAAACTTTAAGAACTGGGCCTATAAATGCTGCGCTTTTAATAACACTTGGGCTCCCCAATTATCTGCGCTATGACATTTGAACGTAGATTACGACTCTGGGCTGCCCCCTCCACCACGAAACTGTAGCCAATCATGCGTTCACCCGTAGATAAATTGAAGGGGACGCAAGTTCACATGAATGCCACCTGACCTGATATTGCGTCACGTCGTTATGGGACCACGTGGTTCGTAGTGACGTCAATCGCGTGACCCATAGTAGCACGGATCTCGTTATTACGTGATCCATAATGGTACGAAAAAAAAAATTGGGTTGTGGGGATATTTATACAGCGCGTAGTTGGTCAGCCATTACAGTTGATAATGGTACGAACCACACGATCGTAGTGCGCATTTTACTTCCGTCAATTTCGTCATGCATAACCGCAGGAATGCACCGGCCTTATACTTCAAGATCAATGCATATGGGTGTTTTCTCCTCAAATGAGGCACTGCTTTAAGGTCAGTTCTTTTTTAGTTTTACCAAAGTAAAATGTTTTCAGGGCCGTCTTGAAGTAACGAAGAACCCAAATAACAAGTTTGGCAAACTTTTTTTTTATCAGAATATTGAAGTGACCAAGGCAGTAATAGACCTATTGCTATATTACCCAAGCATCAAGGAGAATGCAGGAATTTATGTTTCACGCGCCGTACACGTTGGCCTCAGCAGTAGTAACTTTTCTAAAGCATATACCTAAAAAAAATGGCATCTTGCCCGCGCGTTCGACAACGCTTTATTTTGGTTATTTACTTCGAATTTTTTACACGGGGAAGGCGTGCGCGTGTGGCGCGTAAAACAGCCATCCCTGCATTCTCCTTGATGCTTGGGTAATATAGCAAATGGTCTATTGACGTGTCTTCCGTCTGTCATGAATCACATGTCTAACTGCCCTCTATTTTCTCACTCCTCTAAGTAAAGGCATTAGGACACTTTTGTGACACTCTGGAATAAAATTTAATTGTGCTTAATGATTTGAAAAATAAAATATATTTTCGAATAACTTTAGAAACAAGTCTTGGACTGTGCTCCTTTGATTACTGAAACTAAAGCAAGAGTGTAAGTGAGCTGGTTCAATCCAGCCATGGTAACCTAGGAGCGGGTAAAAAACGGGAAGAACATCAAAATGCAAAGTTTGTCAAGTTCTTATGTGTGACGTATTTAATATATTTTATTGATATTGGTATCACTAGAAAAATATCTAGCTCTTTTAATTACTAGTATGTTCTAGTTATTTTTACTAGTAATATTAGTAATTGCTGGTTTCTAGTTACTTGCGTTTCAGCGCTTTGAAACCCCGGCAACAATCGCTGCCCAGAATTGCTGCTGGAAAAAAAAAGCCTAACAAAACTATTCAAAATGTCTTCCACTTTTTACAAAAAGTCATGGAAATTATTCGGAATAGTCTTGAGAGAGTGTTGTTAATGCGATGAAAATATTTAACTTAAAGAGGCAAATGAAATCCTATTCCTTAAAGTTTGCCTAATATTTAACTGGTTACCAAACTGTTCCTTCTGTGATTAAGCTTTTAATAACTACTGATACTTCAGAAATTATATTTTTAATGTAACTATTATGTATTGCGAAAATTATAAAATTAAAGCGTTCACAACATTGAAGAATTGCTTTGTGATGTGCTATTTTCGCAGGTACTTTGCGTTGGACTCATCGGCAACGTGTGCCGATTTCTCTACATATCCTGGCTGACAAACCCTTGGTGGGTTCTACCATTCGAGTTTATTCAAGGTAAGCAAACTGCAATGTTTCTTTAACGTGGAATTCGCGTTCAGTAACGCCCCCCCCCCCCCCCCCCCCCTTTTCTGAAAGTGATATGGGTGATATTTGCAGGTAATAATATAGAATAAAGAACTATACTAATCACTTAAACCGAGCCAGGTTATGATTTCATGCGAATCCAGTAGCCACATATAAAAAGCAAATATGTTCCCACGTTGGTGAGTGCATACAAAATTATAATAGAAAAGCACTAGCAAATTTTGTTATATTGTATATGCTTGTTAATTTTCCTTTTTTTTTTTGTAGTTTTTGGGTATTCATGGGAGGTCGTGCATCCGCTTGTCCGTGTTTTCACACTTCTCTTATTATGCTTTCATTTTAGAGAAGAAAAAAACTAAAAAAACACGACCCCTGCGACGGTTGCTTCTCCACACTATCTGTAAAAGTGAGGAGAAGGCTAACCTCAAAGCTCTAATTCGTAAGCATTAACGCAGTGCCTTTTAAAGTAAATTACCCTGCAACCCGTCTAAATATAAATTATCGTTATCCCTTTCTTTCTCGCTTACTTTCTTCCTTTCTCTGTTTCTCTTTCTTTCTCTGCGCAATAACACAAGCTTTTAGATTGCCGCGTCAAAACTGACGCTGAATTTTTATTTGACAGTTACTCCAAGCGCCTTGTGGTTTAAAGGCTAAGCCGTGCAAGTAGGTTCAAAAACACGCGATGAAAGCTGAGCAAGAAACTACCGAGAACAAATAAATAAATAAAGCGCATGGCAGCAGGCGCGTTTAGAAGGGCTATATTATTTGTGAAAGCGCTGTTTCTCAAAACGAGAGCGCAGTTTCTACACCGCAACCCTAATTTCCTGTTCAATGTGGAGCTACGGCCCGTACATTGATTTCATCAACACCACCAAAAAACAAGTCTTTTTTTTTTAATTTTTGAGTCGGTTTGCGGTTTTCCTTGGGGTCCCGACCCACGGTTTGAGAACCACTGCATTAACGAATTTCGTAAGTGTCTCTTTTTCCCTGCATAAACCAATGAACTGTGTTTGTTTTTGTTTGTTTATTTGTTTGTTTTCTAAGAGGAAAACGTTTTTGCACCATCACCGGAAGTGCATCCCACTCAAAAGCCGCGCTAACTGAACTTCTAAACGCGACTCGTAACTGGGGGCTCCTTTAAAAGGCCTAATAGGTTTTTTTTTGTTTTTTTTAGATCAACCTTTGGTCTGGCTGGTTGCCGACTCGCACGCGGATAGAGCGAATCTGGCCCCAAATGAGGTACCCGTCAAAAAGCAGCCGTAGTACAGGCCCGGTCCGGCGAATGCGGTAACCATGGAAACGGTCGTCTATGACTCCTACCAGTACGCTACCGGCGATGAGGACTCCAGCGGATTTTATGCTCCGTTTCACCTTACCATGGACCGTAGCGAACACTGCGAACCATCCAAACCAATCGCGGGCTGCAAACATGGCACTTGACTTCGGGCCCCACTTGTCGCTGCGCTCCTCCTGAAGTTCATGTGATGCTCAGGCGGCATTGGGTTAGCTTCGCGGGGATTGTAGCGTATTCTGCAGTTCATTGTAAGCTAACACAGTCTATGGCTTCTTCTCGCTGGTTTCTGTCCCTTCACCTATAGCTTAAGTATTAAAAACTAACGAAAAAATAGCTACAATGAATGTCGCTACGTAAATAGACGTAAGAGCTGCTGATGTCGTGAAACGTTCGCCTGTCCTTAAAGCTCGTTCATTAACGTGACTTCATGTCGTTGAATTCGGCATATTTTATCTTCTCTGGGTTCTTTTAATGATTTATATGCTAATAACATTGATTAATTTACCAGGAAAAAATAGGGAGAGTTTAACGCAACCTCTTCATTTGAGTTGCATGTTTATCTAGAGTGAAAAAGCGCACTGCAAAGTGTTTCCTGTTAATTTGTTTTCAAAGTTGTTTTAAGCACTTTTTTGAAGCTCTAATAATGATTTTGCGGTATAGGATGTGAAACATTTACCCTCGCTGAGGTAAATCAGGATCACTAGTGGGAAAACAAATGTACGTGTAGAGCCATTGGCACGTGTGAATTAATGTAAGGCAGTATTATAGTAAATAGGACAATATTAGTTATCTCAAAGAAACTGCAATCTGTACGTGCAATTATAGAAACACCAGGTTGAATAGCCTGATTACTAGATCTTGATATCCGCCTCACGGCTTATTTTCTTCTCACGGAATATTTTTCTTTTTCTAGCTGGAATGCATCTAACTATAATTCAATGCACTTTGTGCACCGACCGCAAACAATTAGACGTTTATTTAGTCCTCCAGTTAACATTTGTTGCGCGTCTCTATTGTGCACCACATTTATCTATGGAGTATTTATTCCCCTCTCTGACCACTCCTGTCTTCCGCCCCGCCGGCGCGCCATCTAGTGCAAGGCTCGCCGCCATGTCCGTCCACCCCAGCTCTCCACTTCATTCTATGTTCCATCTATTCATTTGGACTCCTCCGCCTTTACTCCATCTCATTCATGCACTTCCTTTTTTTTTTTTTTTTTTTTTTCATCTAGTATTTTTTTTTAGCCTCTTTCTTTCCTCATTTTTTTCGACTCCCTTTATAATATGTTTTTTGGCCTTACTGTTTAGTTTATTGTCTGCGAACACTTTTTCCCTCTCCGCTTGTTGTTTTTGTCTGCTTGTCTGCATCGTGCGGGCGACGGCTTCAGCATCGAAATTTTGAGTGTTTTTTTTTTTTTTTTTAGATCTCCCTGCTCTATCTTCCAGCGGCCCGATTTTCCTTCATCCTTCCACCGCTTATAGTACTTTGTTCTTCTCTCTTTCTTTACTTGACTCGAACGTGCGCGAAAGAATAAAATAGAGCCGAACGATGGGCGAGGGTTTGCGCTCAACGATGAGACTGCAACGCGAAGCTGCGTGCGCTCGGTCGGCATGGAAACGAGGCTGCGGAAACGCCGACGGCCGGGAAACCTAATGTGCCCAGATATCGAGAGTGTTCCAAACTGCTTAATCGGGCTCCGGTGGTTTACGAGCCTCGTTTGTAACGCCAAGTGCGAAGAGGACGCGAACGCGTCGATTGTTTGCACTCTCAAATATGTAGACTCACTAGAGGGGCCTAGATTTAAGAGAAGAAGCAATTCAAACGTAAGAGAGCGTTTGGAACTTAATGACGGACGCCTCCCTCGCATATTCATCGCAAGTACGCATGCGCTGTGTTGTAGCGTGGCGAGGAGGAAAGCGGGCGGAGAGGCAGAGGCGCTTGCATTCGATCGACGCGTTAGCCTCTCCTTCGCAGCCTGCGTTGCAAACACGGCCCATAAACCACGTGACCTCGACCGAACAGTTCGTGACACTCTTCAATCTAGGCTCTCTAGGGAGGGATGGGAAGAGGCGCCCTGCTGACCACTGCCGGAGCGGAGACGTGTCAAAGAGGACGGCGCTCGCGTTCCATTCGGGATTAGGGAACTTGGTAGACTGACGAACTGCGACGAAAAGCACCTTGACTGTTTTTGTTGTTGATTTTATGTCTTGTTTTGTGTGTTTTTGGTTTGACGAATGGTACGCTCGTGCGGCGAAGTTTCGCGCCAAGATTAGACGCTTATTGAGGAGCCAGATTGTGAGCGCGCAGGTTACTTTGGCGAGCGGCAGGCCTTTAAGGAGTGCGCCCAATCCTTAGAAAACCTTCGTGTAGGAAGGAGCAACGAACTTATTCTCACTATATTTCTATGATTGGAATGTATGTGCACGACAAGGAGAGAATGGAATGAATACGAGGGTTTCATGTTCAGCAGTTAATGGTTAGTATAAAATATAGTATGCTATACTCGGCGACAACTTTTCTTGGCAATGCAGAGGAAGTTGACGATAGCCCACGCACAGCCTTATCCAGCGCTCAAAATTGGATAGAAAACATGTGCCTGTACTCTCCACTGCATTGCCAAGAAAAGTTGTCGCCGAGTATAGTTATGATTCTAGCAAGCAGCCACACGCTGATTCGGCGCATAATATCGAGCACAATAGTAATAAGATCGCCAATAAGATCATTAAAAAAAATATTGTTCTATTGTTGTTGTTGTTTTTTTTTTTTTTTTGGCACCACAAGTCAGATCACATTCATGCGAAAGAACGTCGCGCTTAAGCGGCTGTGCCGAGTACGTGATATCAGGACATAGCGTACCGACTTAGAAGCACCAGCGCAATGCGAACGTATTTCTAAAGTACCTTTGAAGTAAACAATTTCATTCAGTATTTACACGAAACCAGATTAATTAAAAGGTTTAGTGTCGACTACTCAGCGATCATGACCTTAACCGTCTAAACATGTAGTACACTGAGCACACGTCTTGGAGGTTTAAGTGGCTAATAAATAACTTCAAACAAGTACAATTACTATTTTACCGTTTTACTATTTTGTAGTCCAGTAGGCCACTGTATTTTCTGGCCCCTGTTTCACTAACCAAAAAGAAATGTCAGCGATATTTATCGGCTAAGTTGCATAATGCGTAGAATGCAGTATTTAGGAGCGATCGTTTAAATTGTTTTAAAGTTCCAGAAGTGAACAACCTATATTGTTTGTACATTTTGGGGAAACTAAATTGGTGTTTTGCCAGGTGACCGGTGATGGGAGGGCACGGAAAAATATTATTTCTGAAAAAAAAAAAAAAAAAAACGTTTTTCCTTGGGTTTTTTTGGTTTTTTTTTTTTACATAAAAATCGGGGGAAAGAAACCGAGACTAGATTTATTTAAAAAATTAAGAAGCGTCTTAATAGGCAAAGTTCTGTTACAAAATATAAAATTGGCATTACTCACAACACTAAAACAACAAATATTCGTATCGCCCGTCATTTCGTAGACAGTGCAGGTGAAAGGTTCAACACACTATACTATAATTAAATGTGCTAGTCGATAGCAAAAAAATAATAAAAGAACGGTAGCAAAAAAAAAAAAGAAAAAAAAACCGATGTGGTGAAGGAGCAACGTAGAGAATGGGAGGAAACGCAAGTGCTCGTGGCTTTCTGCTGCCTCTATCCGTCGTCAAACTGTTTGTAGTGCCATAAAAGCATACAGAAAATGAGCATTATTCTGCTGTTCAGCATGAATTGTGCAGCAGTAGGGCTATAAATATGAAAAATATCTCAAACTAAATTTCATAAAATTTATAAGAGAGGAATGATAACCGAACGCTGCCTAATATTTGTTCGCGTAGTGTGTGCATACATGTAAACATGCCATTTTTTTCATCTATCGCATATATTTTGGTGAATACATTGTCACGGTTTGCAGTCAAGGAAAACCGTGAGATATGTATGACACGCAACCGAGCCACCGCTACTGCATCACCATATGCTCATACTTTTGTGTAATATAGTATCATAATTGACGAACGATGGTTTTAAGTTAATCGTTACATGAAAACCGATACACCGTTTAGTATGATCAAGATTTTTGCTATTGCCAGATGCGTAGTCAAAAATCTGCTCAATAGACAAGGTTCTCATAAGCATTTAAAAATAAAAAAAAGTGATGGAGGGCACGAAAAAAAAAATTATTTCTGGAGAAAAATGTTTTTTCTTGACATAAAAATTTGGGGAAAAAAACGAAACCCAATTTATTTCAATAATTTATTTCAATTATTTCAAGTATTAACAGGCAAATTTCTGTAACAAAAGGTAAAATTGACATTAATCACAATGCTAAACTGGCCAAAAACACTTGCCGTTGTGGATAGATGCCGGTATCTTTCCAAAGGTTACTGCATTACTCCTGCTAAGACAAATTTTCAACTGTTTCCAAGATTTCCGAAAAGAAGTTTTGTATTGCTTTTTTTTTTCTCTCGTTGAAGTTTTTTGTAATTTTTGCATACGCACACATGACTAGGGAGGGGAGCGGCAGGAAGGCAAAGCCACTGTATGGAGAAGGGGGATACGGAGGGAGTGAGAGTGGAAACAAGGAGCAGGGGGATGGAGGGAAGGGAAGCTGATGAGGAGGGGGAAAACATTTGGGGGTTTTACGTGCCAAACCAACGATGGGCATCTGGCACACTCCAGCGGAGGACTGAGGATTAATTTGGACCACCTGGGGATCTTTTGACGTGCAACCGAAAGCTCGGTTACACAGCGCCTTCTCCTCAATAAGCATCCGTCAGATTGCGGGCACCTCGGCCGGGATTCGAACCCGCCACATGGGGATCCGTAGGCCAGCGCTCTCGCCTCGGAGCCACCGAGGCGGCTATGGGAAGGGGGAAATAGCACTGTAGGAAGGTGAGGGGAAGAATTGGGAAAGGGAAAAAGAATGAAGAAAAAAAATAGGGTTGGGGAAAGGGAATTGGTGTGCCACGTAACGCGAATTTCCTTTCAAAATTTAGCAAGAAAACTGATTTCCTGTCATGGAAACAGGAAGGTGGTGAAGGAAAGAAGAGGAAGGAAGGAAGGGGAAAGGAGAGCGATTTAAACAATTGGAGGAATGTGGGGTGAAAGGGGAGAGTGAAAGGAAAAGAGGGGAAGGGAGACAGACGGCTTCAAGACTCGAAGCGCAAGAACACAGCGCTCACGCCTACACTCCGAGGCACCTCCAATTAACAGCTCCGGCGCCGCGGCCTCCGAAGGGTTATCACAGCAAAAACGGAGGCAGAGTCCCTTCTGGATACCCATACCCTCCGCCCTTCCCATTTACCAACCACAGCAGCAACACAGGTGTGTAAAGGGGGGAGTTAAACTAATCAGAGCGGAGACGGCTTCCTAGTAGGAAATGGAAGGATGGAGTGAGAAATGAGGGGGGACAGAGGAGGAATAGGTAGAGGGGATGTGTGTTCCATGTGACGCTTCTCCGGCCACATTTTGCGTAGATACTTAATTCTCGCATAGGTCAGGTGATGTATATTTCCCGAGCTAAATTTAGGGAGGAAACTTGATTGGAGTCTGGGTCCCGTAGAGTATATTTGTTACGTTTGATTTAGCGTGGAAGCTGAATTAGCGTACATGTCAAGTGACCTCAATTTTCCCGATAAATTTAGACGCGAGACTGAGTTTGTGTATAGGCCACCTGTCTTGAATTTCTCCCATAAATTTAGCCGAAAAACTGAACTGGTATTTTTGTCACGTGAGGCCAATTTTCCCCCCGAATTTAGCGGGTAAACTGCATTGGTGTTTAGGTCACGAGACGTGAATGTTTCAGCGAAATTTCGCGGGGAAACGGAATTGACATATAAGTCGACGTGGCGTCAATGTCCCCACCTGGTGTATAGGCCATCTGAAAATATTTCCCCGATATATTTAGCAGAACATGCACGGACGGACTAATGAATAGACGCACGGACCAAACTTTGGAAGGGGGGTTCCGTTAAAATTAAAAAAAAAAAATACTCCATCTTTTAATACTGTATCCACATTCCGCGGTCTGGCATGTGTTCATCGACCTACAAATATCCGTCACTATACAAAAAGCAGGCGCACTGAGAAAAAAAATGCATAAGTTCGCTCGCATCGGGGGGGCGGTCGTTGGAAATGGAATAAAAAGGCGAAATTGCAAGCCTCAAGAACGAACTCACTAGCCTGACTGGGGCTGGGACATATCAAACCACACCGTGTAGCTTCTTCTTTTTTTTTTCCCTTCTTCGCTAATATAGAATTTATAAAGTAAAATAATATATAGTTCAAATAGTTCCTCAAATTGAAGATGTTTAAAACAAGATAACCTTACTTTTTTGTTGTTCTTTTTTTTTTCTGTGCAGGTCGCAATAGGTGTTTGTGTGCGTTGTATAGCTATATTCCAACGCGTTAAAAAATGAGTCTTTCGATTGAAATTTATTGAAAACTTAATGACGCTCTCCTCGTTTATTATCACCTGTACATAATGGTATCTCAAACTCTTTAATCTCGAGGAACACTTTTTTCTCTTGTACGGATGCCAAAGACCCCCCCCCCCCCCCCTACCCTCCCCCGCCCCTTCGTATCGGCATTGACACATGGCATTCCAGAAGCCTACAAACCCATGAAGATAAATGCACATAATTAAAATATCTCTCCAGCCTACAATGAGGGTCGTTAGTTTCATAAAAAAAAATTGTGGCAGGTATCAGGATCTACTCGTGAACGAGTCCACGAAAGTTCAGCTCGCGATTTGAACAATAAAGCGTATAAAACGTGCCTGGAAATTCCCGCATTGCAAATCGATAAACGAGCTGGGATATAACAGGATCAGGATGCCATCTCCTTATGGCTCTCCTTCCTCTACCCTCCTCGCCATCTATACATTGCTTCCCCTCTCGTCGTCTCGTCTGTTGACGGGACTAGACGGGACGGGGCTTCTGAGAGCGACTCGATGTTGGTAAGGAGAGGAACAGCAAAAGCCGTGACGCCACAATTAGTGGATGTAGTATCTTGTTACGTCACAGGTTTCGTCGAGGGGCGAAACCGAATTGTGTGTATCAAAGTTGGAGCTTGTCGAATTAATTTGCCGATGAAATCTTAGTTATTTTGGTTCAACAATTTGGCAGAGTAATTGAAGATGCGTTAAATTGCCCGAGGCAGAAAGACCTCCGATCGCTACTCTTAAGCTGGTGTATATAGCTCTGCATCAGTGGATGGCTCCGATTTGCTAAAATAGTGCTTAAACTGGGGATAATACCTGGTGCTGTGACAAAGAATGAAATTTGAGAGCTCCGGAAACTTTGAGATTCCTGGGAACCCAGTTTGAAAGACCATGCTTTAAAGCAGTGTTCTCTAAACGTTTTGGCTGAGGGGCCAGATTAGGGATCTGTAGCAGTCTCGAGGGCCGGGAAAAAAAGTAATAGTAAATGATAAAAAAAAAAAAACTCTAGAAACAATTCTAGGCAATCAATTTGACACAACAATTATTGTTAGAGTAAGCAATAAAAACAGCACCCTAAGGTGGAGTAATACGCACTTCAATACCTCAGTTCGAAATTTAACATTTAGCTAACTCTACACAAAAATTGTGAAAAGGAAACTTCACCAGGCATAAATAAAAGCGCATGGTAAACTTGGCACATTCGCCCAGGCTAGCGAGAATAATAAAAGTACTCCTGACAGTATGCTGACAAAGGACACTAAATACAATATACTAAACGTCATCCAAAACATTTACTATTTTTATTTCAAAAAGTAAATTACGCTACGCCGAGCGCTCAATTTTTTACCCAATGTAGTGCTAGAGCTTCGAACCAGATGCCAAAGTTTCAGTACTCATCGTTATGCTATTCAAAAGTTACAAACGATTTTCTGGAATTTTCATTGGGGAAAATGGCGGCCAATGGATTTCTTATAATACACACAGCTTTATGGCGCCAGGTAGCAAAACCGGGTGGAAATGGGCCCCATTTTCTCAGTGAACATTCCAGAAAATCACATAACTTCTGAATAAAATATCTGTTCGCTCCGAAACTTTGGCATCCGGCTCAAACCTCTAGCGCTACCTTTGGACGGAAATTGAGCGTTCGGTGAGGCATCGTTTATTTTGGAGGGGCAAAAAATCTGTGTAAATTTCTTTGGGTGGCCACCCTGTACATAAGAAAGCAAAAACGTTTTAACATAGTTGCAGAGACATGAAGCCAGGGACAAAGAATAATGACGGTGGTGATTATAATGTGCAATTAATATTTAGGCGAGAGAACCCGCGTTACAATGCAGTTTCTCTTGTTTCTGGTACCTTCGTTGGCGCACTGGTAACTTCGAGTGCGTTGCAACGCCGTTTCTCTACGTTCACTACAATTTGCGCCTGTAGTGAAGCTTCTGCTAGAAGCGGGCCGCGGGCCGGGCTTTATTGGAAGGCCCGCGGTAAGCCGAGGGCCGGTGGAAGACTTAGGCGGGCCGGTTCTGGCCCGCGGGCAGAGGTTTGGAGACCCCTCCTGTAGAGGTTGCGGATATAACTCGAGATGTTTTTATGTGTGTGCGCATGTTCCAGGCGTGACGCACGCCGCGGTCTGGGCGGCCTGCTGCTCGTACATCAGCCAGGCCACACCCGCCAACCTGAGGTCGTCGGCCCAGGGAGTTCTTCAGGGTCTGCACCACGGTTTGGGTCGGGGCTGCGGCGCTGTCATCGGCGGAATTTTCGTCAACAACTTTGGTGAGCTATTCAAATTGTTCATAATTTTCTTTCTCCCTCTTCCTTTTTATTTATTTTTTTTTAAGGTGGGGGGGGGGGGGGGGGGGAGGGATCATGAATCTTTTTACAAATTTTACCTGGGATCAATATACCAATTATAAGTATTATCTTTTTTTAATAAATTACTTTATTTGGAGCGTTTTTTTATTAAATTAATAGGCAACAGCTTTTAAATTGATGGCCAAACATTTTAGCGATGCATGCAGCATTTCTAACCATTAAATTCCTGTCAAAATGCAAATTTTAAAATGTGATCTTTCCGCAATTTTTTTCTTTCTCATAGATAACTTGTATGACTTTTTTTTCTTCAAATATTTCAAACTAGAGTGAAACACGGAATAGAATTTCTTTCTGGACTTTTCTCTCGTTTTCGGCGATAGCATTTCTTTCGGTGCTTTCGAAAGCAATGCTATCTCATTTAAAACGTCTTTATGTACGTTGTTAGTTAGACTTGTTATCGTAACTTTAAAAGGTAACTGAATAGAATTACAATTCCTTGGCCTAAATGTAACAGATTACCGACACAAACTGAAGTTCGTAAAACGTAATCGAATACTTACTCTCTCACTTTATTTTATTACTTTTGCGTTGTTCCGAACAATCGCGCATAGAACATGCAATGGCTACTGCGTGTTTGATGAGTGAACTTATTTTGACCCATCAAACTAGAACGCAAAGTATGCAAACTTAGTACTATCTATTCCTTTTGTTAGTATCAATAATATTAGGCCAAAACTTTCTTAAGTTATGAACGACTTAAGCTAGTATTCGGAATAAGTGGCCATTGCGTTGTTCAACCGATACAAAATTAAATCACACGATCATGCAAGGATCGCACTAAGGTGGTGGATACACGTGCATCATTTCAAACAATCCAAGTTCGCCATCAGGGAACTGGAAGACACAATTCACCTGAAGCTTTGGTGCTCTATGTTTGCGGCATGGTGACAAACTAAGTGCTTTTCTTGGCCACCAATATAAAACCGACTTGAAGTGAGAGCAGTACGCGGTGCTTGCCTTGAGGCACATTTTGAAGATTGTTGATAAATGAAGTTTGCTATCCGATCGAATCACCCACTTGATCTTCCCTTTTTGTTTCTCACCACTCTCGTCACAACCAATTTTTCACAGGAGATATTAACACACGACCTTGCAGTCATACTTAATATGCCTCATAGGAATTTTTAAAAGTATCATTATAACTTATGAGGTTGCATCCACGTCACTCACGAGTTCACAGCCGTCTTACCCTGTCTGAACTCCAGTGTCCATGTTAGCCATTACTTATTCTCAGAAAAACCATGGCATCTTCTTTTACTCTATAGTTTGGTGTCCAGTGTGAAGTCGTGCATGTACTATCGGGGAAAGATGAAATGCGAACAGAGGAACGCGTGGCTCGCGGTACAGGCTGCACCGCCTGGAAGTGAGCCTAGGGGCGAGGGTGCGTGGCCTACTTTGATGTGTTCACGCCCCTCGATTGGCGCTCCCCCAGCTTCGGCAGTGCGCCTCTCAGTGCGCTGAAAGCTGTCACCGCTATCTTTGCCTGCTCCGCGAGTGTGGCGAGCTTCTTTGCACCGCAAGCGCTGAGCCGGCAAAGATAGCGGTGATAGCTTTCAGCACGCTAAGAGGCGCGCTACTGAAGCTTGGGGAGCGCAGAGGTAGGGGCGTGAACACGTCAGAGTAGACCACGCACCCTCGCTCCTAGGCTCACTTCCAGGCGGCGCAGCCTGTACCGCGAGCCATGTGCTCCTCTGTTCGGATTTCATTTTTCCCCGATAGTACAGTTTCCTGACAATGAATTTAGCCGGCCCCTCATTGAACTCCCTCTAACTTTCTTGTTTCTAAAAACTTAAGGCGCACTTTCGAAGTCCAAAACCATTTCGGCAGTGCTCTCCTATTAGGTCATTGCCTGCTAGTGTAAGTGTCTGCAATTAGAGTTTACCGCCGATCTCTGATTAAAAGGACCATGAAATTGATTTACGGCTGAATTAAAATCAGATTTTACTGAATGAATTTCGTTTAGTACGCCATAATAAAACTAGTGGACGAGAGTAGAAAGCCTAAAACGTGCTTTTCGAACTTTTTCTTTTATATCAGGCTATTTTGTATTTTTTGCCCTCCGAAACCACTTCGGATTTTCACTCTGATGCATCCACGGTGTCTGAGCACGTTAGCCGAACCCAGCTCAAACATTGGACACGAGCAATGCGTAACTCGGATAAATGCGATCGTCAACAATCAATCCGTCGAAGAATTTTCGAATTCCCGTTCGTGGCCAATGGGTGACGTGACGGCACTTATCATCACTTACGAATGACAAGTGTGCTGAAAAAGCACGGTGGAAGCTTGCAGTCAACGCTTTCGGTGCCCAAGCCACGTCAGCACCACGGGACTTCTCATTACGCTTTTGAGTTAAGGATTAAAGGGGCCATGAAACAAAATTTGGGTTGGGATGAATGATTTTAAATTGGGACTTTACTAATCGCATATCGTTTAGTTGGCCAAAAGAAAGAGGCTAGAAAGTCAAAAGCCAGCTTTTCGGTACGAACATTTGAAAATAGAGCGGACTATTTTGTACCTTCTTGCCTTCAAAAGCTCTCCGTCTTTTCACTATGATACATCCGCGGTTCCAAAACCGCGTCACCGGCGCCAAACTGACGTCAGCAGAGCCCAGCTCACGCATTGGATACGAGAACTGCGTCGTATGCGCTCGTCAACAATCAATCCGTCGACGAATATTTGGATTCGCGTTCGCGGCCAATGAGTGCCCTGACGGAACTTATTGTCACTGGGGAATGACAAGTTCTATGGTGTGCATAAAAAGCACGGTGGAAGCTATGAGTCATCGCACCGGTACCGAAGGAATGTCACGACCACGTGATTTCACAATTCGCATTTGAGTTGAGGATTAAAGCTAAGGAGGAACAAGTAGGAGAATCGTTTCATGACCCCTTTAAGCTTAAAAGGAAGAAGTAGAAAAACCATTTATGGACCCTCTGAACCTCACAGCATAGTTCATACCCTATTTTTTCTGTCAATATTTTAGGGCGAGGTCACGTGGAAAAAGGCGCATAAACGATTGGCCTAGCCAATATCTGACTTTTCCAGCTTAGTCAGACGTGATAAAGGGCAAAACCCCATCGGCGGCCTTTTTGTGTTTGCGGGGCGGGTGCGAGTAGGCAGAAATATCAACAAGCAACTCACTTCCCCCGGCACAGCTTCGTGTGACAAATAAAATAAAATAAAGATGATTTTTTTTTTTCAGGTGGGGGACAAGGCGGAAGAGGGGAGGGCCTCGTCGCCTCGCTATGCAAAAATTGTCGCATGGCGTCGGTGAGCGGCCGCTCACCGACGCCATGCGACAATTCCTATTGGCGATTATTATTCTACTCTTTTGTGACTCGGCGCTTCAAGCCTGTTTGTTTTCCAACAAGAGCTCTGGGCCCGTTGTTTGTCTGTAGACGGTTAAAACCTCCAAACTTGGCTGAGCGTAAAAACAAATTCAAAATTAAAAGTACCATACTATCGTGTTTCTTTGTTTTTTTTTTTAGCGGGGTTTTGGGACGCGTTCTCGCTAGAAAAAACGGTGGTCCGGGACGGAGCCCCGCAACGCAACCCATCCATCGTGTTGCAATCGAGCTAGGTGCCCACTGAATCGCCCTTCTACTAACCATTCCTCGGCATTGAAGGAATCAAAGAAATGTAAAGAGTAATTTTCAGTCATTTGTTAACAACCAAGTTATAAAATTAATTAATGATGATAATAATAATAATAATAATAATAATAATAATAATAATTATAATAATAATAATAATAATAATAATAATAATAATAATAACATAAGTAACAACAGCAGAGGTCAAACAGTAACAGATTACAAGTAATTATGCTACTTGTAACGCCTTAGTTCTACGTGTGAATTTTTTATTAACATTTGTTCTCGACATTTTGACTAATCAACGCGTTGGAGGCGCCCCTGCTTAAGCATCGTATCGTTGTCAGGTGTGGATCACTGATCTCTATTTAGTAGGCTGGATCGCAGATCGGAAGCCTGTTGGTGGCACCACCGGCGGCCGTTGCTTGACAGCAGGCCATACACGCTAGTCTATGGGACAAGCACACAAACGTATAAATATTGAAGCTTCTACGCGGTTCTCAAAGGTGAGTATATTATGATATGGCTCCGATCAATATATCTGGTATTTGGAGCTCGAATTGTTAATTGTCAAGCGTTCTAACGTCCATTAAAAAAAATCTAAGGTGTCAGAGTACACACGGCTGAGCTGGCGAGCTTGAAGTAAACAAAGGAACTTGCCGTCAATAAGACCATCCTCGGGGGAGCCTAAGAGTTGATGAATGTCAACAAATTTTCATCTTAACGGCGAATTTCAGGGTCGGTAGTAAGCGAATTACGCGTAGCAAAGCCTTCAAGCTTGTCGTCAGCTAAACCCAACTCATTAAAACTGCCACAGACTCTGGAATAACTCTATATGTAACTCGTGTCTCTTTGAGCTCTACTACATTTTTCGTCCATCGGAGTCATTCTTGACCACAATAAAAGTATTTATAAAAACTGTGAGATCTGTCAATTTAAACGTCTTTACACTAGCCGTTTGAAAGGCTTCCCAAAAAGTAGCCAACTATTTTCAGCGCCGACAACAGCTTAAAGACGGGGGAAACGGCACATTTTCTCGTTTTTCCCACGGAGTCCCATGCACTAGCTGGTGTCAAGTGATGGCTGCCGGTGGTGCCACTCGACCCCAACAACACAAGCCCCGATCACCAATTCAACCTACTACAAGATAGATCAGTGGCATGGACATCGTAGCTGTCGGAACGGTCAACTATGGTGGAGATGGTGCCGTTGCCACGCGCGATGGAAAGGTCACATCGTCAGCAACGGCACTATCACCACCAAGGGAACACATGAGTGACAAAAACGGGAACGGCGCAACAGTTTCTATGCCAACTTGCGCGCACGCTTTGACGTGGCGGCTTGGCACAGGTCGACGTCACAGCGTCCTGGTCTGTTGCTATGGGAATCAGAGCGCGGCACCCGTTTTTGTCCGCTCACGTGTTCCCTGATTTACACGGGCGGGTACATAATTAGACAAAGTAAAAAAAGAGAGCCGCAAAAAAAAAAAAAAAAAGAATCAATCCCTGAATAACGAATTAACGGATAGACGGCGGTCGTTGATCGAAGTAAGCGTGCCTTCCTTGAAACTCGGATCGTCACTGACCAGTATCACTTAGCCTTAGAAGGTAAGGCCTCTGCCATCACCCACAAACGTCGTGCCTATACTGGATTCACGCAGCGCCGCCTACCTTGCGTCGGCATTGCCATCAGCGTGTTTCTGATCGTCTTATAACGGGCGCGACGTTAGCGAGCGGCGGCGCCTACATGCAGGCGTCTGACATTTTTTAGCGACTCTGACAGAGCTTCGACGTGTTTATCCCTTGACGCGGCTCGGGGATCAACCAACGTTGGGATAAACTAAGGATGACGTCATGCCCATGTCTTGTCTTCTAGGTGGATGGATGGACGGATGGAGCTGAATCCTTTGTATCGGGCGGCGGCTTTCGCCAACTAGCCAGTATTTTTTTTCCTCTAACATTTATTTAACATAGAGCTATATATCTAGAGATCGGCATTCCACTGACCCGCGTCCCTCGCGGTCAACGTGACAGGCACGCAGGTCACGTTCCGGGCCTACGGCTTCGCCTGCCTGGTGGTCCTGGTGGCCTTTGTTTTCGTCAACTACTACCGCAAGGACCGGGGCTTCGCGGCCTTCAGCGACGACGACGACGAACCCCACCTGGTGGTCGAAGAGTCGTCGCACCTGGCGCCGCACGGGGTGCCCTCCAACCCGATGCAGCACTCGCTGTCCAAGCAGAACCTGAGCGAGGGTGCCGGACCCGGAGGTGGCGGACAGCAGGGGGATCAGCAAGGGGGCACGCCCGGAGGACACACTCAGGGAGGCTTCCTCAATATTCCTGGCACTGGAAGCCAAGGTGTGTTCCCTGTTGAAAGCCCAGCTCTGATGTTTGGGGGTGGGAAAGATTCCGAAGAAGGAGGGGTGGCATACTCCATTTCACTCTAAGTCCGTACGCAGCCGGTCACACAGGACCGCTGGTGCTATGGTAGCTACAAGGGAAGGGTGGAGTAGGGTGGAGGGCACCGTATACGAGCAATGATAAAGAGGGGCGCGAGCCGCGATGAAATTTTTAAAAAGCCTAGATTGAAGAGAAGGTCCACCTGAAACCGTGGAGAGCGTTTGCAATTTAATGGCGGAGGCCGTCGGCGAAGATTTGTCGGAACTGCGCATGCGCTGCGTTGAATTAGTGATGGCGAACGTAAAGAGATGACGCCATGACGATGCAGTTTTTAGCGTTGTTTTGATTGGCTCCATCGGTTCCTAGCGTCGGCTGCTCTGGGGCTTAACCCTTTCAGGTACGGGTGCATTTCATAACCACGTTTAAACTTGAAACTTCACCGAACGGTTGAAAAACTCCCCAAAAATCAGCTTCAAACAGTTTCTAGCGAATTGGTGCTCAATTCGATGCTTAAATGTGGAGGTGAAATTGCGAGTCCCGAGATGAAAACTAGTTGCAAAAATTGCAACTTAGTTTGTCTGCGGTGTACTGGCGTGGACGGTCACGTTTCGTTGCTGCCAAGGTTGCGGCCGGCGGCCAAGCGCGCTTTCTCGTGAAGCCGCCGCAGCCCCCCCCCCCCCCCCCCCCCCCCTCCAAAAACGCTCGCCACAAGCGCGTCGGCCTAGCGCGCGCTCTCGTAAAGTTGCCGCAGCCCCCCCCCCCCCCCCCCCCCCCCCTTTTTTTTTTCCGGCAACGCCTCAAGCGTGTTTCACATGCAGCGATTTTGGCCTATAGAGCGGCGCGATTTCTGCCGTCGCGGCGCTCGTGCCGCAGAATTGCTGGTGCTGGCCAGAGCGCCGCGACGGCAGAAATCGCGCCGCTCTAGGGCCAAAACCGCTGCATGTGAACTAGGCTTTACACGAGAACAGTGGCCGAGCGCGCGCTCTCGTAAGCGGCCGCGAATGGCTATCTAGCAGCCGTTTTGCTCGGCCAATAAGAAAATAAACATTGCTTTCGCGTTTTTTTTTTTTTTTTTTGCTTCTACAGACGGCGACGGCTTCGCTCTGTGGGATGTTGAAGCTTTCGCATTAAAGAACTGATATATATATTTTTTTTGTCTACTGAGCGAGGCGCTATCAATCTGAAAAGCGCGGTGGTTTCGGTTTGACGTCACCGTGTCTTGTACTCTATAACCATTTTTTTTTTTTTTTTTTGGGGGGGGGGGGGGGGGGGGCGGGTGTATTTCTTTGATACCATCGTACCTCAAGGGGAGAAGGTGTATGTACACTCGTGTTCGAATTTCAACCGCGAAACGGATCCGCTCATTTTCATCAGCAAATGCGCGTTAAATTGTTAAACTGGCGGTTGAACCGCGAATGCAGTTCAACCGACAGTGTGAATGCCTCATTAGTGTGAATTGAAGCATAGCTCTAGCTTTATGCGAACAAGGAACTTGATAGCATAAAGCGAGCGTCGCAGTAGATCGCTGTCAGAACACAGTCGACAGCAGACTTCACAGCTCTAGCGGCCAGGGAGGGAATTAGCGTATAGAACGAGCAATTTTTGTCATCTGACGTCGTCTCTATAGAGACGAACTAGTAGAAATATGCAAATGAATGAACAGAACCGCACCGTCAGAGATTTTATCTTTCGCCGACTTCGTTGCAATTTTTTTTTTTTTTTTCCGATCAGTGCGGTTTATTTTGTTTGCATATTTCAACTATACCGAATAAAACAATACATGCTATTCCTTCGTTATTTCAAATGCATCAGACGCTCTGAGTAGGTATTTCGTATTGATGAGGGTTGTGCGACACCCATTTAAAATAAATAAATGCTAAAACAACTATCCTGTGTTTTCCATGAATAGAAGTACCTAACATCTGTGCTGGAATTCCCCTCCTTCCTGGCTTCTTCGTTTAACTTGTATACAGTTTAAACATTCAGGAATTACAGGTCGCGGCCAATGTACAAATCTTTTTCGTCGGCAGGCGCCTTTTATACCACTGTGCATATTCATAGATATAATGCGCAACGCGGTTAGCGCAAACACGACATCGCCGCATCTTGGCATTTTACTCAGGCAGGTATTTGTGTAAATTACTGATCTCCATATCTCTGAGTTTGTGGTTCACAGTGTGTGCTCGAGACAAGGTTCCACGTATTATCAGCCAAGAACGATAATCTTGATAGTGTGTACGGAAATTGCTGAAGCTTTGTTTTAATGACTGCCCTCGACATGTACTCAGATGAAATTGACGCAGTAATGAACACCAGTAAATACTACCTATAAACGAGCAGAAAGTTGTGCCACTTCTATAAGTACTCGAATTGAGCAATTTACACCACACTAGTTTATTTTATATATTTATTCGTACATACTTCTATCTCATTTAAGGTAATTGGACGAGAGGGATTACAACAGCTTACAATCTTAGTGAAGAAAATAACGAAACATACCCTAGAAAATAACTATTCAAAGCAATTCCACGTAATTGTCACAAGTATTTGTACTGTAAAATAAAAAAAAATTGGGCGCCGTTCCACGCTCTGAAGGTGGATAACCAGTGAAGCTGTTTAGTACACGACGCAGACTTGACACAGAATATTGAACAAAGGCCCGAACACATTTGCTGTCTTTATCTGTGGTCATCTTGACGAAAGGTACGCACGCACACGTGCCGCCCGCCGCCGCCGCTGACATTCTCGTTGCCGTTCCCGCCGTTGCTCTTCGTAGACGCGCGTTACTCTTCGGGATTGCGGACTCTGCGCTGCCTTCCCATTACAACAAAAGAAGAAAAACGGAATTGAAAAGGGAAAACAACAATTTGTCTTGCTCTTTATATATATATATATATATATATATATATATATATATATATATATATATATATATATATAGATATATAAACGAATATGTGCAGATGAATGAACCGTACTTAATCCAATGAATCAAAGAATCAAAGTTTTCAGGAACACGCCGAAAGCCAAAAAACGGCGGGTTCCTGAAAACTTGGATTCTTTGAATCATTGGATTAAGTACGGTTCATTCATCTGCACATATTCGTTTATATCCTCCTCGGAGACCACGCACGATGACGTGAAATGCCCATCTTCTATATATCTACAGGGTGCGGCCGTAAAAACTTTCACATTTGGCACGCCTAGCAAAAATCAAATTTCAAACATACATACCTAAAGTTGGGCACACGAGCGTCATTTATTCCAAAGTTTTTTGCCTATTTTTTTCAGACGTCAACTTTGGAGTAGCGAATTATTAGAAAGATAAGAAAAATGGCAGACGTGCATTTCCTATGGCCTATACCCGCCCGTTCGCCGTCTGCTATCTGGTTCGCGACGCCGCTCCCAGGTGGCGCACTGAACGCAAAAACGCGGGAAACGCCGCACGAAAGGTTGGTGTCGGGCGAGATAATCGCGATAAAAAGTGATTTGAGCAAAATATATGAACGATTGTTGAAATTACCTGTTTCAAGTCAAGTTATGACAGATCGTCATGCAAGCAAGAAAACAAGCACCATGATGCGACGAGATCATTTAATTTACAGCTGCTCGTCTTGTTGACAATTGCGGGTCGCTCTCGAAGACAGCAAGCACCGCTTCAATGTTCTCATTTTTCAGCAGGCTCTCACGTTCACTGACTGGATTCTTCTTTTTAAAGTCGTCTCAACTCACAAAACAATCCGCCCAACTCAAAACAGTCGGGCGTGAAGGCGGGCGTTTATGAAATGCAGTGCGAAGTTTTCGTGGTACTGTGGCCACAGAGCTCCGCTCCACGTACCACTTGACTGCCTGGGCACACTCACTTGCCAAGTATTGCGGCATCGCTGCAGTTATTATCAAAATATTTTGATAATAACTGCAGAAGATAGTGCAACAAAAACAATAAATAGGAACAATCAAGATGCCCCAGCAGCGGCACTCTTGATTCCAAAGTTGAGCTTTCACCGGGAACGGACCCGTCAACAGATAAGCAGACGACGAAGGAAGACACACGTTCGTCTGCTTTAGAACACATTTTCATTAAACGAGGGCGTCCGCCAGTTTCTAAATTTCAAGTAAAAGGGCATGAGCGTTCACATATTTCGGTAAAATAATTTTTTATCGCGATTATCTCGCCCGACACCAGCCTTTCGTGCGGCGTTTCCCGCGTTTTTGCGTTCAGTGCGCCATCTGGGAGCGGCGTCGCGAATTAGATAGCAGACGGCGAATGTGTGGGTATAGGCCATAGGAAATGCACGTCTGCCATTTCTGTTATCTTTCTAATAATTCGCTACTCCCGAGTTGACGTCTGAAAAAAATAGGCAAAAAACTTTGGAATAAACGACGTTCGAGTGCCCAATTTCAGGTATGTACGTTTGAAATTCGTTTTTTGCTAGGTGTGCCAAATGTGAAAGTTTTTACGGCCGCACCCTGTATATATCTATACAAGTTTTTTTTTTTTTTTTTTTTTTTTAAGCTGAACAGATTTGTTTAAAAAAAGCCGTGAATGTTACACTTATGCCGCTTGTGGAGGTGAGTTATATGGACAGGGGGACATATTATAGGGGTTAATCGTAATGATCAGTCGTCTAATTAATTAAGATTCGTTAATTAGCTTCTTAATTAATGAAGATAGATATATGGTTCCAACTAGAAATTTGCTCAGCGTCATTGAAAACCACTAAATCAGTCATATTCAGAAAGAATTTCGGCGCGTGGAGAGGCGTAGTATTGTACTAAAGTTACCACTCGTGGAGCAGGTACAAGGCTGGGGCTAGATAAGAGACGGAAAAATCGCGCGGGCGCCTTATCGCAACCGCTAGCTTTGTACCTGCTCCACGAGTGGTAATTTTAGTGCACTATTACGCTTCTCATGCGCTGAAAGTTTTTTTGAAAATTACTGATTTAGTGGTTTTCGA